CAAAAAAGAGATTATACATACTTTTTTTACCCTGTGGAAACAAATTTACTACGAAACACAAAACTTCATAAGTAACCATCAAAATGAAAATCATTTCTTATTCCATTCTTGCATTTTTACACAACCCTTAACCCACCTGGGGAACATTTCCAGAAATTAAGTCTTCCTTGAGCAACAGAGCAGTTCTTCTGAGAAAATAAACCCCAAACCGAAGTGGGGGGCGGGGGACATCCCTAACATACAAACTACAAAATAAATAAGAATTATAAAGTTTTTTTAAAAGTAACCTTAACAGTTATCAAACTAGTGAGTTCTGCCTTATCACATAGACTCTCTACACAACATAACCCTAAAACTTTCTTACTATGAGGTATTTGGAGGAATTGGTAAAAGTGATGCACGGCCTGCCTGGCGAAGGGACTCGGTGAAGTGGGGGGAACTCTGAGAGGGAGCAAGGAGGAGGAGCTTTGGTCTATCAGCAAGAAATTGGGGGAAAAAAAAGTCATCCTTTGGTATCAAAGAAAGTTTCATTGCATGGTTGCACGGAAAAAGCACCACGGTGAATAATTATTCCTTTTTTTTTTTTTTCATTAGTGGCCTTTCTAAGAGGCTGAGGTATTCAAAGAGTATAAGGTGAGAGAGGTCAACAGCGGTTTAACACTTTGGTTCAAGCAAGGCACTCGTCCTAGGAGTTTACAAAGGTTGCAACATGTTTGCCTAGAGATTTACAAGTAGAGCTACCAGTAATAAGAGTAGTATCTCCTAACGTTGTTGTTATCATTATCGTATTATTATTATTAAGAATGAAGACAAGATTACACACTGAGTGAAGAGTGAGGCGGGGAGAAGAGGCGGGGGAGGAGAAGGGGCGGAGTTCCCTCTGCAGACCAAGGCCGTGCATGAAAATATCTTTGGTATTCTTTGGTATCATCAATGTGATTAAAATCACCAATGGAAATCGAGTGAGGTAGCGTCTTTGGTTCACACTATAAATAGTAGATCTTTACACTTTTTTTTTTTTTTTTAATACACATGGAAGTAGCTATTTCTTACCTTCTGCTTCTTTGTCCTTACTATTCAGGAAATAGTTACCAAATGTACTGTAAAGCTAACCACACCACAAGAATAATCCAGAAGGCCAGTCGCATCTCAAAACGGCCTCTGGTGTTTGAACGCACCCTAAACAACTAGATAGGAAAGGGAGAAGTGCTTTCTCTTTGTTTGCTAAATGCATAGTTTTCATCCTTTATGTACAAAGAAGGGAGAACCTTTCTTAGGGAAAATGCCTTTATAGCTCATGTGAAAATGTCCTAGGACTCTTTGGTATAGCAAAGTTTGCATTTAACCTGCAAAGACCGGTCGTTCACCTGGGGTAGCAATGGGAGTGGCATGAATCCAAAAACAGCACAGAGATTTTTTCCTGGAAAATTATGCTTTTGAGGGGCAGAGTGAGTGACATGTTCAGTTAGAACTTCTAAATTTCCCCACACATTTTCTTTGGGTTTGGGGGTCTGTTCCAGCTGCACCCAGGAACTGGAATACTCAGTGTCTGACATGCAGAATCCTTTTACCTGAACATTTACTGATGTCTGGGCTTTTGGAATGTCCAGACATCACACCTCCCACTCTTTCTCTTGGCCCCCTTTCAGGGAAGCTTCCGGTCATGAGAGGACCTGAATGATTTATGGCCCAAACCAGTCTAACTTCCATTCTACCAAAAAAACCCAAAATGTGTTATTTGGAGTGCAGTTTTGGAATAAACAGGCATACAAAGAAAAGAGTGAGATATCTTTTTAGGTGAATTTTGCTAAAGGATTGAGAAACGATGCATGAACAAATGGCACGGGATCTGCTCTGTAGAGTGTGGTAGGTGAAGAAACCTGAGTCATAAATTAACGCTAGACTAAACAAGAATAGAAGCATTTTCTATGTGCCAAGTCAGAAGCAATAAAGAGTCACTCATACATGATGTAATACATGTATTGCTTGTGAGAAGCTGAGTTTGTCCACTAGGATTTCTAAAAAGCAAAGGTTGTGGGTATGCTTAAACAGTCAAGTAAAAAAAACTGCTTTTCAGGCTCTGATTTGTGCATCTGTTTATGAGAAAATATATCTCTAGGCCCTGAAGTTGCATAATGGGTGCAAATTCAATGCTGGTATGAAAATTATCTTTGGTGTTAGCAAGTAGGATCACTGGTTATTTTTCAAAAAGAAAAAAAAACATTATGGGGACTTCCCTGGTGGTCCAGTGGTTAGGACTCCATGCTTCCACTGCAGGGGGCAGGGGTTTGATCCCTGGTTGGGGAACTAAGATCCTGAATTCTGGGAGGCGCAGCCAAAAAAAAAAAAAAAAAACATTATGGTGGGAAGATTAAAAATGTAGCAATATTCTTTGAGACTGTGTCTACACAGTACCAAAATAATTGGTTGAAAATGTAAATCACAGATTAATCTGAGGGGGTTATATAGGAAAAACAACGCAAAAGACATGGTTGTCTGAATTCAACTTTTGTTTTTCCTGGGGTATTGAATTTGGTAAGATTGTGTGTAGACACAACTTGAATTTCCCTGCATTTAAAATGCTCATGTTTTAAATAAATAAGGCTTTCCTCCCTCCTACATGATAAATACATTATACAGCTGTACCCTGGCCCCTTCCTTTCCTGGAGAGAGAGAAAAAGTTCATCAGTTTTTTTCTTTTTCATTTATGTCATTGACAAGATTACATTTTTAGCAAATCTCGAAGGGTGGCCATTTAAATGATCTCTTTTAATAGCTGAACTATAATTGTGCCATATTTAGAAGGGAAAATTTAAAGATGGAATTTGGGGTGAGATTAAAAATAATACTAAGACAAAATGTGTCAAGGCAAATGCACTATTTCATCAAAGGAGAAGTATGTCTTGGTTTCCTTTTCTCATCCCACAGCAGACATGAAGGAGACACAGATGGCCTGTGGGTTTAGCCTCATCTCTCCAGGTGCCTGCTGCTTCTAGACCTGGACAAGATGCTGAGACTTGATCCTAAGGAGTTAGGTTTTGTGTCAAAATAGTTTAATTTTTTTCTTTAGCATTTTAACAAATCTCAATAAACAGCTTACTGTTGAGATAATATTTAATTTTATATTTCTAGTTAGGTGTGGTGATTAAGAGTACCCAATTCTTTACCTATTAGTACAAAAGGCATCTACTTACGTGAGTTACAGTTCAACTGAATCCAGAGAGAATTTTCCTGGGAATCAAGCAATTCACTTGGGTACTACCAGAACAACTGTACTACTATTATTATTATTTTTGCCTTGATTTCTATAGCCCTGGTTAAGTGATTTGGAAAAATAGAAATTTAAAATTTTCTATTTGTAAGTTCAGGTCTAGTTTTTAATCTGTCCCTGTTAGAGAGTGGAATCTATGTTATAAAATTTCCAGCTTAATGTGGTAGCAAGAAAGAATGTAGTATTCTTTAGAGGCTATGCTTAGTGAAATAAATAGCTTAATACCTATGGAACCCAAGGTCTTGTCTTCCACTAGAGCTCTTGCTTTTTCTATGCAGTTCCACCATTTCTCTGTTGCACTTGCTATTTTTATTGGTGTCCAAGTCACAAAATGTCTGGGGTTGGCAATAAAATCAGTTGATTATATTTTCAGGATATAATGAACTGCATAGTTCATTTTAATAATAATGTTGGTCTGCTTACTTTGTAAGTAAGTTTGTAAGTTTGTAAAGTATTTCAAATAGGTATTTGGTGTCAAATGCATAAAGCAAACTTAAGTCGAATTAACCTAAGTATGGGGTCCTTTATTCAGTGGCCTTTTACTGAAGAGCATTACTTTGAACGAATTTTCTAATTTAGTTACCTGTCCTGTTAAACTTAGTTTTCTGAGTTTACAAATCAGTCCTACTTCAGAAGAATCCCTAGGTTTTCTCAGCTATGAACAGACCATGGAATCATGTCTATATGTTTACTTAAGTGACATTTATGGATCCCGAAAGGGAGGGAGCCATCTGGATGTATATGTATACTGCATTGACCTCTCTGTTATGATATTGCTTCCCTGAAGCTACATTCTTTCTTGCCAGTTCTGCAAAGTAATATTTCAAATGCTTCAGGAGTCATAAATAATAGTCATGATTCTACGTGGTATGTGTATTACAGCTAGATCAGTTCATACGTATAACTTTACATAGTATCTTGTGTAAAAATAGCTTTGGTTATTAAAATCATTGCAATAAAATACCTGCACTATAATATTGTGTTCTTTGGTACCTAGGTGATTTTGCTTTTTAATGGATGGACTCTTGTTTCATTTCTTAAAAAATATCTGAACAGTCCTTAACAAACAAAGAGAATGCACTGGTTTAGGTGTCATTCAAATTTCTTTGCTGACTTTGAATCTGCATTTAGGTCGCGGGCCTGCAGGTTCAAACGCTAGGCTAGACGAGCAAAATCACACTCCTAAGCCAATGAACTCAGACAACCCCACACTATGTTGGTTGCACTCCTACAGCACAACCCTTCCTGAAGACCAGCCCTGCCTAAGTCCCTAACCACTGGTGGTGGTGGAGGTGGTGGTGGTGATGGTGGTGGTGGTGGAGGTGGTGGTGGTGTGTGTGTGTATGTGTGTATATTCATGCACATACCCACACACAGTACTGAGACACCATACACCTTCGTGGCGCAGTGGAGTGGATGAGAAAGTCTGATCTTAAAGATGTCCACTCAATGGCTCAAAATCACTATGCTCCAAACCACGAAACAGCCAAGCACAGCGAGGATGATCATGGACTAAAGCTGTAAGATCCAGTGGTGTCTTCCCGCTAGTAATTTTTCTTGCCAAGTCATCACCTGGCTGAAGTGTGTGTCTCCAAACAATGTCCGAATGCAGGTGAGCTAAGTCTTTGGTTTCTTTGGACTATAAATAACACTTTTTTTTTTTCTTCAAATATTTCTAAGTATAAACCTGCTATCTTGAGGTCCTGGTCTTTAAAAATTTTTTTTTTTCATTTAAAGCTTTTCCACCGAGGTTTCAGTTCGTGGTTATTCCTTCATGCTTTGGTACAAGCGCTTGATGAAGAAGATGAGTTGCCCGAATTGGAGCTGCCCTCGTCCTGCCACTTGTCCAGACTCCTCCTCCTTGCGTTCATGAAGAAGTTGCTGACGGTGCTCAGCTCCAACCCCAGCTGCTGGGAAATGGTGATTTGCAATTCTTTGGATGGACGCTTATTTTCCTTGAATATTGCATGTAGAGTTCGACGCTGGACATCTGTGAAGACCAACCTGGGCTTTTTGGGTGTGTTGCCTCTATCTTTCCCGTGTTCTTGCTCTTTCCTTTTGCATGCTGCAAAGAAGCACAGAGGGTGTTAGAAGAGACTGCCTGGGAGAATCGAGAGTAGAAAGGCACAGCCCATAAAATCTGCTGACCTCTGACTTTAGCACCATCGTGGTCTGCGAGGGAAGTGTACCAAAAGCATGGGGAGTGAGAAGAAGGTGGAGTTCTGTGAGTCCTGGGCATGGGTCCTGGCTTTGATGAGTATCTGTATTTTGTTGGTGGTAAATCAATTAACCGACACCTGGGCCTCGATTTCTCATCTGCAGAATGTTGGGTTTTAGACAAATGAACTTATTGTTTGAATTTTTATATCACTATCTGTAAAGTGGATATAAGAACATCTACCTTGCTGAGTGTGCTAAGCATATACGAAATAATATGTAAAAGATAACGTTAACTAAAGTGCTTTACAAATGCAAAGTTTTATCACCTAGACGTGGTTGTAGCCCTCAAAGGATTTACGGTCTGCTGCTAGTGGAATACTAAGAGCTTACGTGAGGGTGTAAAAACCAAACAAAAAGGAATTGCATTTGCTCCCTTTCTGATTTTTTGTGTTTCCTAAGAAACTGTATGTAAGAAAACTCTGTACAGAGTGTCCTACCATGCCCATGAAACAGTTTTCCACTGATTCTTCAGTGGAACCAGGACTTGGGGAGCTGTGGTGAAACCCACTTCCTCGACACTGAGGCAAAACCTGTGACATTAGCCTCATTCACCTTTGGGGTCTCCGTGTGCCTCTCTTTTGTTCTTCACGAGAGTCTTACTCTTGGAGTCCCCCTCTTCCCTCACCTCATCTCCACTGAGAAGGCCCATTCCCTACGCACGCCTTTTGGTCCTGTATCATGAAGCTGCCTCTAGGCTGCTAGAGCTATTCTGGTGCATCATCTCAGTGTGGTCCTCACGTCCGCAGGGTTTGGTGCTGGATCAGGGTCTCCTCACCTCAGGTGCTGTACTCCTCTTTCTCGCCTAATGTAGATCACTAGCTTCCACCTGCCAAAGGGGCACTGAATTGCTAATGACTCCCTCCCACTCCCCGTCCCCAATCTCCACCATCAATGGATCCCTGCAAGTCATCCCCAAATAACCATGCAACTCAAGTAAGAACAGTGCTCTGGTTAGCTACTATGCCCTAACTCCAAACAGCTTCCTGTCCCGCAGCTCTCCTGTGTAGGGGTTCTGGAGCAGCCGTGGCTACCGTCACACCTGGCTGGCTACACTCTGATGTGCGCCCCAACCACAGCGAAAGGCACACAGGGCAGGGCGTCTCCCTGGCGGAGGTAGGGACTGTCGCTCTTTCATGTCGCCTCCAGCTGGCTGCCCTGCCTACTGCTCTCTCCTGCTCCACCCCCACCCCCCACCCCGTCCTTTTGTATCCCAGGTTCTCAATTCCTCCTTAGATGGTTCACCAGCTCTGGCTAGATTCAGCCTCTGTACTCTCCCCAGGTAGCCCTGCTCTTCAGCCTGCCCCTACCTTTCATTCCCAGTTGCTCCACATCGTGGATTCCCCTAAGGCCTTAGGTGCCCGTTAGCACAAATTAGCTAGGCAATCGGAGCAGCTAAAAAGCTAAGGGGTAAAGGTTGAAGAAGCTTCCAGTCTTTGGAGTTCAATCTAGGAGTCTCCAGGTTTTTGGTTTTTTTTTTTTGCGGTACGCGTGCCTCTCACCGCTGCGGCCTCTCCCGCCGCGGAGCACAGGCTCCAGACGCGCAGGCCCAGCGGCCATGGCCCACGGGCCCAGCCGCTCCGCGGCATGCGGGACCCTCCCGGACCGGGGCACGAACCCGCGCCCCCTGAACTGGCAGGTGGACTCTCAACCACTGCGCCACCAGGGAAGCCCCAGGTTTTCGGGTTGTTTTTTTTTTTTTGCGGTATGTGGGCCTCTCACTGCCATGGCCTTTCCCGTTGCGGAGCATAGGCTCCGGACGTGCAGGCTCAGCGGCCATGGCTCACGGGCCCAGCCGCTCCGCGGCATGTGGGATCCTCCCGGACTGGGGCATGAACCCGCGTCCCCTGAATCGGTAGGCGGACCCTCAACCACTGCGCCACCAGGGAAGCCCTCCAGGTTTTTTTTAATCATGTGCTATTTAGTAAAAAATGTTTTGAGTATTACATTCCCTTACATTATTTCTTTATAAATGATATGCATGTGTTACTATACTACTGTATTATTATACAGTAGTATAATTAAAAAGCATACACAAAATATAGAAAATTTTAAAGGGGTAAAATAACATAAATATATATAGAAATTCTCTTCTACAGGTGCATCAGCTTGCCCAGGCCCCAGAGTGCATTTGCCTAACTCCAGGGACCACAGGTCCAATATATCAGGAAATATAAGAATAAGAATTTCAGAATGGACATGAGGGGAGACCTCAGTCATAAAAGAGAGATTTTTAGGCTAGTCAGGTCTTCTTTTATAACACATTCCATAGATCATTGGCTGTGCCCTTTGCCCACCATGATGGAAAGCATCAACATAATGGGAAAGATTTATTAAACACCCAGCTCCCTCAGAGCACTGAGCTATATATACTAAACTAGGTGAGAGTCCCCAAATACAGTCCCTCCCCACCAGGAACCCATAGCCTTCACTGGGCAACTAGATTAAGTCCCTGAAAATAAAAGCTGACTAGGCTGAAGTCAAGCCTAGTTAGTTTGAGTCAGCCCATGTAGACACAGCTTTATATAATACTGATACACATGGCTGGTTGATTCATTCACTTACATTCAAAGATGAATATAACACAAGCCTTTCTGTTAAGGAGGTCAGTCTAGTGGTTATGTAAGCAAATAACTGCAAAAGCATGAAAAGAGTATATGGGATATTATCTCTGCTTGAGGATATTAAGGAAGGCATCACACAAGAGGGGTGCTTACACTAGGCCCTAAAGGATGAATAGGAGCTTGCTAGTGAGAAAAGTGGGAAAAACTCATTCCCAGCAGGGGGAACAGCATTCGTGAAGGACTGATAAGTAGTAGTAGATTGGTAGTGGGGCAAGAGTACATGGAAGCACATACATACTTCACAGGTAGACAGAGATCAAATTTGAACTACCTTGTAGGTAAGGTTTTGAGTAAGAGTGTCGTGTGATTAAATTTGGGTTTAGAAAAACCCCTCTGGTGGTGGTGTGGGGGATGAATTGGAAAGCATCAAGATTCAGGACCAGTACGCTGTGTATGCCATTCTGACCCCCTTCAGGACTAAGGCACTCACTCATTCTTGTACCTGCTGGAAGAGGCTGGTGGCTCTCAGCTGAGGTCCATACTGGGAATTGCCCTTGGCCAAAGGTTATGCCACCCTGGGGTGCAGTTGGGGGACTAGCCACACCCAGTGGGGGATGGGGGGAGTAGGGGATGGGAGTATGGATGGTGGAGGCTGAAGAAAGTAGGGATGTGTTGGTTTAAGGCTCCCCCACCCCAAACCCTTGCATCAAGTAGGAACAACTCTGAAGGGTTATCTAGTTCCAGAGCACCCTGTAGGATTGATTGAGGCTATTTTTGCAGCTACATCAAAGTTCAAATCCATCTGCCTGGTCTTACTTCCTCCACTCCCCCTACAGGGGTTAATCTCCATAGCCCTCTTCGATAACCTTCCTGCATGCAAGCCTCAGAGTCTGTTTCTCAGAAAACCTGACCTAAGACAGAAGCCAACTAGAAAATCAGTGTAACGAGGACCCCAAGATAGACAATGGCAGTTGAAGATGGAAAATAGGAAGCAAACGTAAGAGCTTCTTGGAAGGTAGAATCAAGAGGAATCAGTAATAACAACCTGGCTGGGAGGCTGGAGTTCGGAACATCTCCCAGGTTTCTGATTGGATGGTAGTAATAAGGCCATTAGGGAATGCAGATGGAGAAATGAGTTTTATGAGAGCAGTAATCACTTCTATGTGGGACAAATCCATTTGAAATGCGTGTTGGACATCCTATTAAAGATCTCCAGTAGGTGGTTGTCCAGCAGACGGCAGGATATATGGGGCCTGGAGCTGAGGGAAGAGATCTGGGTTAGGAATACAGACTGGGAAGTCACTAGGGACCTAGATGGAAAATTGCACAGAACACATACCTATGGAAAAATAAATAACTGAGCATCGGGTGCAGACTCAACTTATTTATCATTCAAAAGGCAGAACAGGGACTTCCCTGGTGGTCCAGTGGTTAAGACTTCGCTTTCCAATGCAAGGGGTGAGGGTTCGATCCCTGATCGGGGGGCTAAGATCCCATATGCCTCACAGCCAAAAAGCCAAAACATAAAACAGAAGCAATATTGTAACAAATTCAACAAAGACTTTAAAAATGGTCCACATCAAAATAAATCTTTAAAAAAAAAGGCAGAACTAAGGGAAATCACAAAGAGATATCTATTTTCTACATAACTAGGGTATCTGAATGACTTCAATGTGGTCCTTAGCATTTGGCAGGACTGAGTGGGCTGAAGCTACTCCAGAGCCACCCTTTCCCAAATGGCATCAGAGGCCTGATATTGCCTCAAATAGGAGTTACTTGAAAAGATGGTTTGCAGGCCAAGTACATTTAGAAAAACCTACTATATAGCCTCTTCCTCAAAATGCGTAATACGTGGGCTTCCCTGGTGGCGCAGGGGTTGATAGTCCGCCTGCCGATGCAGGGTACGGGGGTTTGTGCCCCGGTCCGGGAAGATCCCACATACCGCGGAGCGGCTGGGCCAGTGAGCCATGGCCACTGAGCCTGCGCGTCCGGAGCCTGTGCTCCGCAACGGGAGAGGCCACAGCAGCGAGAGGCCTGCGTACCGCAAAAAAAAAAAAAAAAAAAGAAGGAAAGTGTAATATGTGTTTAACAAATATAATTTTGTTTCCCAAATTTATTTAATTCCAGAACCTTGTTTGGTAGAAACTGTCTATCAGTGTCTCATATAATACTAATGTTGTGGAAATGCAGTTTGGAAGTTCCTGACCCGAGCTCTCAATGTTAGAACCTGGAAAGTGGGATTCTCCTGGAGCAAGGAGCCTGTCTCTCCAGGGCAGGCTGGCAT